GGGCATCAGGATTGGAGGAAGACTCATTAACAACCTGCGATATACAGATGACACAACCTTGCTTGCTGAAAGTGAAGAGGACTTGAAGCACTTACTGATGAAGATCAAAGACCAAAGCCTTCAGAATGGATTACCTCAACGTGAAGAAAACAAAAATCCTTACAACTGGACCAATAAGCAACATCATGATAAACAGAGAAAACATTAAAGTTGTAAAGGATTTCATTTTACTTGGATCCACAATCAACACCAAAGGAAACAGCAGTCGAGAAATCAAAAGACATATTTCCTTGGGCAAATCTGCTGCAAATGACCTCTTAAAGTGTTGAAAAGTAAAGCTGTCACCTTGAAAACTAAGGTGTGCATGACCTAAGAGGCCATGGTGTTTTCAATTGCCTCATATGCACGCAAAAGCTGGACAATGAATGAATAAGGAAGAAGAATTGATGCCTTTGAATTGTGGTGTTGGAGAAGAATATTGAATATAGCATGAATGCCAAAAGAAGGAACAAATCTGTCTTGGAAGAAGTACAACCAGAATGCCCCTTAGAAGCAAGGATGGAGATACTACGTCTCACGTACTTTGGACACGTTATCAGGAGGGATCAATTCATGGAGATGAACACCATGCTTGGTAAAATAAAGGGTCAGTGAGAAAAAGGAAGACCTTCAAAGAGATATTCTGGCACAGTGGCTGCAACAATGGGCTTAAGCGTTACAATGATTGTGGGGATGGTGCAGGACCAGGCACTGTTTCATTCTGTTGTGCATAGGGTGGCTATGAGTCAGAACAAACTCAACGGCACCTAACAACAACAATACCATACCATACCATACCATACCATACCATACCATACCATACTATACTGAGCTGAACTATAAACCCAAAAAAAAAACAAACTCGTTGCCATCAAGTTGATTCCAACTTACAGGGGCCCTATAGGACAGAGTAGAACTGTCCCATAGAGTTTCCAAGGAGGGCCTGGTGGATTCAAACTGCCGACCTTTTGGTAAACAGCCGTAGCACTTAACCATTTACCATCAGGGTTCCCTGAACTAAACTATACATTATATTGTATTTTATTGTATTACATTGCCTTGCGTTGCATTGTGTTGCATTGCATTGCATTGCATTGTATTGTATAATTGTTGCTGTTGTTAAGTGCTGTCAAGTGGATTCCAACTAACAGAGACCCTATAGGACAGAGTAGAACTGCCTCATAGGGTTTCCAAGCAGCTGCTTGTGGATTTGAACTGCTAACCTTTTGGTTAGCTCCCTAGCTCTTAACCACTGCACCACCAGGGCTCCAATGTATATTATATTATGCTATGCTATGCTATGCCATGCCATGCCATGCCATGCTATGCTGTGCTCTATACTATAACCAAAACCAAACCATTGCCTTTGAGTCCATTCTGACTCATAACGACCCTGTAGGACAGAATAGAATTGCCCCCATAGGATTTCCAAGGAGCAGCTGGTGGGTTGGAACTTCAGGTCTTTTGGTCAGCAGCCAATATCTTAAGCATTGTGCCACAAGGGTTCCACATATTTTCTACATTACATTATGTTATTTGTATGAAAAAAACCAAACCTGTTGCTGTTGAGTCGATTCGGACTATAGGACAGAGGAGAGCAGCCCCATAGGGTTTCTGAGGAGCAGCTGGTGGATTTGAACTGCCAACTTTTTGGTTAGCAGCTGTAGCAATTAACCACTGCACCACCAGGGCTCCATTATTTGTATATACCAATGATTTCTTCAACACAAATACCTTTTTTCCAACAACATAAACAGTGACTATACATGTGGACCTCGCCAGATGGAATACACAGGAATCAGATTGACTGTATCTGTGGAAAGAGATGACGGAAAAGCTCAATATCATCAGTCAGAACAAGCCAGGGCCGACTGTGAAACAGATCATGTTCTAATTTTCTTCAGCTTCAACTTGAACTTGCATATGAGCAATTGATGATCTGTTCCAAGTTCAGGTTGAAGCTGAAGAAAATTAGAACAAGTACACGACAGCCAAAGGATGACCTTGAGTATATCCCACCTGAATTTAGAGACCATCTTGAGAGTAGATTTGACTCATTGAACACTAATGACTGAAGACCATATGAGTTGTGGAATGACATCAAGGACATCATACATGAAGAAAGCGAGAGGTCATTAAAAAGACAGGAAAGAAAGAAAAGACCAAAATGGATGTCAGAAGAG